GATAAGGATAATGCTGCGGTCACCTTAAACCCAGAGACACAATCCTATACCTTGAGACACGAGATGAAATGGGCCTCCAGATCACATAAGGATGTGGTGTAGAAAAGGAAAAGTCATTTACTTTACCGGGAATGGATCCCCTGTCGTTCATCCGACTTATAGACACAGTATGCCTATTGACTTGCTATGCAAGCTTATGCATACACAGTACAGTTACTATTAATGACCTCCAAGTAAAAAACTTTTTATCCAAACTGTATGTGGTCATGTAGTGTCTGGAACAGAGAAGATATTTTCATTCCTGCAGGGGGTGGAAGTCTGTGTTATGCTACCGTGTATGTCTAGCTGGTCTTGGAGGGATGGGAGGGGGTAGAGAGGTGGATGAGAAAGGTGAAGGACGGGGTGGTAGGTCAGTGTCATCATCAACTTCTTGTTTTTTCTTCCTAGACTCAATATCTCTGAGGCCAGTGTTGACCGAAACATCAATCCATCTTGTCGGATAGGAGGAACGCCTGCTACTGGTTGTAAGTATCCATTTATTCAAACACCCGGCACACAATCACGGTCCAGGACTTGATCTGTTAACTAAAAGAAATGAAGTACTTTATTACAGTTTCATATTGAAGCCAATGAGAAATCAGTACTATATTTTACATGAAAATATTTACCTCTTACTAGACATACATAAAATTTGACAAGTCTAATGACGCTGTCAGTAAATTGAGATTATATAGCGTCTAATGTTAGGATAGTAGTGTACTTGAAAGTATATGATGTACATTCGCGTTTTGCTAGGTGTTGGCTAGTACTTCTCTCAAACTGCGAGTAAGTGTGTGTCGTCTGGCCGCGCCATAGCTCAAGTGGTTAGTCGCTGGCTTCCCATCGCGGCGGTCCGGGTTCTATCCTGGTTTTTGTGGTGGAAAAAGTGGCGCTGGGACAGGTTTTCTCCTAAAACTTCGGTTTCCCTTGCCAATCTTCATTCCACCAATTGCTCCACAGTCACCCTCACCTATAATCTGGGGCTGGTACAATAGGCCAGAAGTGACCGCAGTACAAGGAACTTAGTCCCACCCCACTAGCAATAAAAAAAAATAAAAAGATGTGTGTCGCATCCGCCAAGTGTCCCCTTTGTTTCTATGACAGTTGAGATAGCTCAGCCGATGTAGTAACTGAATAGGGGCTAGAAAGCAAGGAATCCGGGTTATGTTCCTCGGAAGAAAAATATACTTTTATGTTCTCGATAGACAGGTCCTGTGGTCTAACCAGCCACTTGTTCACTGAGTGCCGGGGACATTTCCCCGGGATTTAATGGACGTGGCGTGAAGCTGATCTCTCACCATCATCGAATGCGGGATTTAAGAATGCGGGAAAGTTATACCTCAACTCTCACACGTTTTTGGCGTGGTTATTAATTAAACACAGAGGCGACTATATTTAAATGGTAATGCGTGGTTATGTAGTACCTTTAGGAAATAATCATGGGCACTTCTACTACAGAAACTGCATTTCGGTGCTCCAAATTATTGTCACTGAGTCCAGTGAGTGAGGTTAGTTCTTCTTAGCGGACCTGGAAGAGTAGTTGCCGCCCATCCTTCCACCTGAAGAAGGAAACAAATCCATATTCCGAAACTTCTAAGGAATATCAGACGATTAAGTAAAAACTCAGTAATACGAGTAACTTCATGACGGTTAGAAGATTTCGAATTAAATTTTCATATTCCTTCATTCTACTAATTATCTTCCTCCTCCTCCTTCTTTTTTTCTTCTTCTATTTCTGTTGCTCCCATTTGGAACATAGGGCATCCGTGAAACTTTTCGTTTCACTTCTCTTTCTACATCATAGTCGGTAGGACTCATTGGACGGGGGATCAGCCCGCCACAAGACCTCTACCTAACACAAACACAAATATACATCCATGCCTTGAATGAGATTCGAACTCACGATCCCAGTGTTCGAGAGGACGAAGACAGTTATTGCCTTAGGCTTCGTGGCCACTGTGATCGGCAAAGGTGATATTATATTCTGGAGATCTGATATGTCTGCTACACTCTGAAATGCTCTGGAAAGACAGTTACCGCAACAGATTAAACAAACATTTCGCAAAGATATCGTGAAAAATTAAGATCACATATAACTGTGACATTACTGTCTACTGGAATGTGACGTCATGCAGTTGGCCAGATGGGCACTAACATTTCGAAGGACTCTGTTGCTTCCTTCTTCAGGGTAATCGAATAATATGAATCTGAATTTCATTTTCGCGGCTTCGACTCAGCACGACACAAACCTAGGAAGAGCTTGAAGGTTTATTGGTTATGGAGAAGTCTTTGTGTGTCTGGCCTATACAGAACATCATTTGAAAGAATAACAAATGAAACCTCCACACCAAGGTCAAGGAGAAGGACGATCCTTTCACATTACAGAGAATTACAAGCGACAAAGTTCTAGCATGTTTCGAGCTACTATGCTACAAGAATGTGTTGATTTACTAATATTACTCTTGAAGTACCCATTTATAAGTCAGTATCCAGCAAATATTATGTTTCTGGACATTATCCATTGTCCTGTCTGTATCTAAAAACACAGAGATGTTTATTTTTCAAAACAACGTTTCGGAGACTCAATTCTGTCTCCGTCTTTAGGTAAAACTTACTCAGTTGAGCCCAATGATAGATCTAGTCCCTATCATCGGATCTTTCAAAGCACAACGTTTCGGAGACTTGTATTCTGTCTCCGTCTTCAGGTAAAACCTACTCAGTTGGGCCCAATCGATAGAACTAGTCTTAATCTCCGGACTTTTTTTGGGCCCAATCGATAGAGATTGCCCCTGTCTCATAAGTCTGCATAAAGTGTTGTCGCGTCAAGAAGAATTAAGTGGGAAGTGAAGGTAAAGCTCCATGCATTCTAAACCCCGCATGAGCGACAAGTTTGCATTAGGAAGAAAATCGATTCATATTTCGGCCGTGATACGGAATAACCTGTAGTTTATTGTAGTTTAACTCGTTCTCACCGGCAAATGAATAAATAACACATTAAAATAAGACGCTACCGCATGCTTCGGCATCCTTCTCATTTATTATTCATTATTATGCAGTAATGCGACTGTATGCAGTCTGTATTGCCGATCACAGTTGCCGCCCGCTCAAACACTGGGATCGTGGGTTCGGATCCCACTCAAGGCATGGATTTCTGTGTGCATTCAAACTGTGTTTGTGTTGTTCGGTGTAAAGGTAGCGGCTTTGCGATGAGCTGATCCCCGTCCAAGGAGTTCTATCGATTGTGTATAAGATCAAGAAATTGAGAAAGTGGACAAGGCCCAATAAAAGGCTGTAGAACCATAGATGGAGACAGATAGATAGATAGATAGATAGATAGATAGATAGATAGATAGATAGATAGTCTGAGTTACTATCAACGACAAGAAGTACGTGTAATTATAACATTTTAAAAATGTATTAAAATTGGGTGGGCGGGGTGGCATAAACTACCCATTACTGTTGTTTTTCTTTGGGGAAATTGCCCAAAGTACTTGTATTTACTGGATCAAAGGGAGATGTACTTCAGAGCAGAAGAAAGTTAAACTGTCAAATTTCATGACAAATTGAGAAGTATAGGCGGTATAAAAGAAATTGTAATCAATTATTTGCCTTACAATAAGGGCAGCTTGACAGTCCTGCCGTCTTGTCTCTTGGAAAATGGCTTCGGGACCCAGGAGGCTGGGTGGGCCCCAGATTCGGTAAATGGTGAAGTTTCCCTTGTGTAGTACGCCAAGAAGGGTACGTAGGACGTAGAAATATAGCCCCATGCATTTGCGGTAGAAGATTTAGATCTTGGGAAAAAGTTCCCTTTCGGGGGTTAAGTGGGCCCCAGAGCCTCTCTTGATATGGTAGCGCATGCAACAAATCACGTCATTGCATGGAACCGAATCCCCTATATAGTTGGCTGTAACGTCAGATAATAAAATGTAGGACCATCTGTACAGAGGTACTTGTGGCCAAGAGATATTTGGAAGTAGTTCCTAGACCTGAAGGAGCATGGAGCCAAGTCACATAGACAAAACGATACTTTGCTAAGAGAATCGGGAGGAGATGCAGTGATTCGAGTTGGTTTCACTAGCGTCATTCAGTAATTTACCATCAATACAGGCACATGTCTAAACTCGTGATATACAGAAATATATCGAATATCAGATGTTCAGGTTTCCTTCTGGAATGAGAGACGAATGTGCTTCCTTCTGAGATATAACGCCGTGTAGCTTGCTGAAAGTTTAACCGACGTTTCGGAGGAAAATATCGCTTCCATCTTCAGGGTAGAAGAATAAGCCGAGCAAGAAACCAGCGTGAAAATAGGTGGCAAGCAGATGGTGCTTGCCACTGGAAGGGAGTGATCACTTTCACGCCTCGGCCACCTTACCCCTATTTTGCTTCTTATATAATAGACTAATGCGATGTCCTCAGAATTTAATCAGTTTTTTTTTCATTTTTCTTGAATATAATTTTGGTTTGTTACATTTTTCCAAATACTTGAACTCTACAATACTGTCCAGGGATTGGGTAGGTGCCGTTGCTTCACGAATTCATTCCGCTTTATGGAGACGAGATGTAACCTTTGCTTCAATTATCATCTAAAATAAAGGTAAAGTTGTCTTTGTGCTTAACTAATTAAGCACTACGTCATGAAGGCGTATGGGGGAGCGGATGTATAGATTCACATTTTCTTGACCTCGGCATTAGAAATATTAATACTGATGTGTCATGTTTTGTGGTATTTTCAGATGGCCATCAGATAACAAAGAGCGAAAAGAAACATGAATCTGGACTTGCTGTCTCTACAAAATATACAAGGAGGGAAGTGAACATTGATTATGTAGAATAGTACCTGTAGAACTGAAGGTAAAGACGAGCGTAAGTGCAGTATTTAGCGACACTGTATTAAAGTTCCAGGTACAAGGTCTCATTGTCCAGAGGGTGGGAGGGGAAAAGGTGAAGGGTATCTTGAAATGGCAACGTCAAGTGGTGGTAGGGATGATAGAATTATATGTACTCTCAGTGAACTCGAGGACCACCAGTCAAGTTCATTTCACTGCGAAGGACACATCGAGAAGCCCACAACTCTCGCAGTCCAAGCGCCAGGAATTGTTGTCGGCGGAGGAGAACTCGTACTTAACAGCGACAATAGTAGAGACCTAGCAGAAGAGATGCTGTTTAATACTGATGTTTTGAAAAGAGCAGGAATTGAACTTTACAGATGCAATGTGTCTTCTTCAATACCGAGATCACAAGAAATATACGGAAACTTCTCTGAAATTCCGAAAAGTCTCATAGAATCTGAAGATATAACCCAGCAGTGTGGTGGCCAATCATTTGCACCACATTTTCAGCTGCAGTACGGGGCAGAAGAAACAGGTCAGCGAGAGACAACTGAGTTTTACGACACAAACAGTGATGCAAATTGCCAGCAGTTTCCAGCAGTTTCGACTACAACATACTGTGAAGATAGAGGCAAATGCAAACTGCCTTCATCTTGGCGGAAAGGTTGTATAAGCAAATTTACCACTCCGAGGAATATTCGACAGCCGCGGATGTCTCCGTCCGAATTTGCACTACACCGTGTTTCACCAACCATCTCCAACAGTAAGTACCAGATTTCAGTCATATTAAGGCTACCACAGTAATCTGCCTGTTTTAATTGAATAGGACAATGTATTCGAAAGGAACAATTTTCGTAATAATTAAAGTTGTAAATTAAAAGCCTGTATTAAGAGGTATTCAAGTTTCACTGTGTCAGAGTTTTAAATATAATTGTTTATATAAAATCAATTGCTGAGTTCATTGTCATATTCTTTTAAAATTAGTGCAATAGTCTTAAGCTGATTCGTGTAACATACTCGTATATAAACTCTTTCAAATTTCTCATCCCACCCTCTACAATTTGGGCAAGGCAGGATATCAAGTGTGACGTCTTGAAACAATCGTTTTATTTTAAATCAGTTAAATAGAAATAACCTATATTCTTTAGTTCAGAAAGTGGCTACTGTTTACATCAATTCCATGTCTCATCAAAGTTGTTGCCAAACTCTGTAGGCATACAAATATGAAAATTTATAAGAGATTTAGAACTTTCCCAGCAGTGAAAATTTGGAATGTAGTCTGTAAGATTATGGAAACCTCCGTCTCGTAGCTTCTTACGTCTCGGAGAAATCTGCTTCTCCATCATCAGAGTAGGAATCTGAAGATGGAGGCAGTTGGATCCTCGGAAATATTGGTATGCACTTACGTGACTTCGTAAATAAGAACACAATTAAAATTAAATAATTTTAGATCTTATTGTGATTTTGGTTCTGATACCATGTAAGTGGATGTCGACGTTTCGGTGGAACATACTGTCTACATCTTCAGGGTTGAAGTATGTAGCCTACAAATTCCTCCACGCTACATACTTCGACCTGTTTTCCTAACATATATCTTATTTATTTTATTGCTAGTAGGTAGTCCCTTGTACTGCGGCCACTTCTGGCCTATTGTACCAGCCCCATATGATAGGTGAGGGTGATTGTGGAGCAATTGGTGGAATGAAGATTGGTAGGGGAAATCGAAGTACTTGGAAAAAACTGCCCCAGCGCCACTTGACCAGACCCGGGATCGAACCCGGGCCGCCACGGTGGGAAGCCAGCGACTAACCGTTCGAGTTATGGCGCGGCCTAATATATACCTTAAGTTTTAAGTCTTTAACATGACGTTTCATGCTTTATTGTTGTTGGGCATACTATTATAATATGTCCCCTTGACAAAAAACTGTGACGAAACCTTCCTATAGTGGAGTCGGACAAGGAATTCTGACCGTTTGTCCTCCTATCGTCTTCCCTCGCTCCCTTCAGTGCACATAATCTATCCCCACCCTTCTGCCCCATGTGGTTCTTTCTGTATTACTCATCCTATAGTGCTGAGCGAGGGGCACCAGGAGACCGGCTAGGATGGTAGAGGGAGAACAGACCCTTCCCCCAGAAACTCGACCACACCACCCTTGAGAATTCCTTGGGTATCTCAACTATAAAGAGTGCAATATTCTGGGTTGTAACGCCGTGTAATTCGAATGTAGCCCCGGCTCTTGGAGGAATCTATCATCTCCGTCATGTGAGTGAAAGAGTAAACCAAAAAGGAACCACCTGTTTCTGCTGATTTTTTGCTTGCCTTATTTTTCGACCCTGATAATGGTGGCGGTATGTTCCTCCGAAACTTCGAGACTTATCCGCACTACACAGCGTTGCAACTCAGAAGACCGTACACTTCACGGCCATCGCCATGAGAAACCAAACTCGAACAGACTCAGAAGCAATTTCCACTGTTCCTGCAACCAAATGCTTGTTGCAATGAACGAGTCTGCTTCCAGATGAAAAACCCGTTTCAAGTAGCATCGCTCTCCTAATTCTGTTGTGAACCACATAACATCTGATTCTCAGTGCGTAACCGCTCATACTTTTACGTTAATAACCACTGGCACACAAATATACGTAGACTCTCGGGGAATCGCACCAAACTCTTATTACTATTATGGCTCTGCAAGACTAATGGGCCTTGGACGCTTTTTCAGTTTTCTTAATCCTATACACAGTCGGTAGGACTCCTTGGATGGGGAATCAGCCCATCGCAAGGACGCTGTCTCACACAGAACAACACAAACAGAATGAACGCATTCAGACATCCATGCATCTAGTGGGATTCGAACCCATGAACCCACTGTTTGAGGGAGCGAAGACAGTTCACGCCTTAGACCGCGGTGTAACTGTGTTCAGCCTATCGTATTAAAGTGTGATACTGAAACTATTTACTCATTTTATATTATAATATATAACATATAATATAATATTCGTCATTGTTATCTTGCGAGCTAAACTAGCAATAAAAATTTTTATCTTCCTCGAAGTGATATCTTTAAAAGGATCTCAGATCAGTCATTATAGCGGGTGGTTACTGGTTGGACTGCTGAAGAATCTGGCCATATTTTTCGGCATTGACAAGCAATATTTTACTTCAGAGAGTTAAAACCAGAGCTCAGTTATCCTGGTATTCAATGGGCATGGGGTATTTTTTCCTGGAGCTGAGGTGACCGGGGCATGAAGTTGGCCACTCCATCTAGTACCGAAGTTAAGAACACTTGGCCCTAAACCGCCGCTGCCCTACAGAAGTTCACGGATGTGTTACCTAATTAAGCACAAGGACAAATTTACAATCTTCCAACACCAAAATCCATTAAGCAGACAGGACTTCTTGGGAAGTTAATAGCATACAAGTATAGCTCTCTTAGTCAATAAATTATCAGACTTCATGGATCCTGAAAATTAATTGCCATATTCCCCGAGAGTCCGTCACTGGACTCTATCCCGAGGCGGAAGAATTTGGTCTTCCCTGTAGCACAGTATTTTTTAACAAATATTTTATATTGTTATATTTACTTCTAGGTCTTCCTAATAGCCTCTGCTCTTACTATTTTCATTCTACAAGTTGTATGCATTTTTATTTCTCCCACGCATGTTAGATGCCTCGTCCATCTCATTTTCCTCAATTTGACTTGTAATGTAACTTATTTGATTAAAAGACTTCTTGAAGTAGCCTTTTGCAATACTGTGGGTCACTTGACTGTATTATCAGCGTACAATAGGAAACAAAGTCGCCATGTAGAAGATCTGTATACACACAGGACTCTCCTTTCGTAAGTTTGTATACTCAGGGTACCAAGTAATCTCAAAGAAGTTTTAGGTAAATTTTATTGCTTATGTTCACTATAACTAAAATGACTTGCTATGAGCTGGATGACCGGGGAACGATTTCTGACTGGAGTAGGTATTTTCGCTTTATAGTCACATTCAGAACGGCTCCTTGGGCAATTAATGTCGGGGCGAGGGGGCAAGGGAGGGACCTGAGTGTGAAGTTGACCACTCACTTCCATGTAATTCCCATATTAGGAATAAGGCTTCCTCCACATATCTTAATCGCGTGGTGTCCTGAGCACAGTGACCTTACCTTTCACACCGTGGGACAGATTTTTTCTTGAATAGCCACCAGTCGCTCAAAGTATCGGTTTATTAACATTCTACCCTGAAGAGAGAGGAAAAAGGCATGTTCTTCTAAAAGTCGCAAACAACCTCTCATAATACCCTCCAATCAAGTTCCTTTTACCCTAATCAAATTAAATATTACTTAATTAAAAGTAATGCTAAAAATATGGAGCCGAGGTAGCTCAGTCAATATAGAGACGAGTTACTGGTTGAACGGTCGGGGTTCGATTCTAGCAGGTTTCCCTCTTCTTCACAGTGTTCAAAGTGACTGGGGCCCACTCAATCTCATATAGAATGGATACACGTGGCTCTTTCCACTGTGGTAAATTGGCCGGAGCGTAAAGCTGACCACTCACCTCCAGCCAATGCCGAGGTCAAGAATGGTGGAGTTATACCATCCCTGCCCATACCTCGTCATGGAGTCGTGCCTAATTAAGCACAGGGACAACTTTGCCTTTACCAAGGCTGAGGATAATGTACGGGAGAGCAGGCATTTGGCTTCAGATTAATTCCGAACACAAGACTGAGGCAGGCCCATACGGCCATCGAGTTGATCCGTCACTAAACCTGCTCAGATTGAGGTGAATGATAAGCTGGACGCCCCAGCTGCCCTGGTATCCGTTGGATAAAAGGCTGGGTAGACACCAGTGCAGGTCTGGATGACATGGAAATGAGAAAAATCTTGTCCCTACAGGGACTCGAACTCCGTCACGCGTAGCCAGTGGCCATTCAGAATTCGCTACCCCGGGTGTCCTTGCTATGATAAAGAAATAAAATATTCGTCACTTGTTGAAAGGACCCAGCTTTCTGAATTGTATAATAGTATCTACATAAAGAAAGTTTCTTGAGTTTTACATTTCGTATCCAGTGGCAAATTCAGTGAACTGATTTCTTTTCTTGATCACGATAGCGTTTACTAGTAAGAAGTAATCTGTTGTGAAGAGAGAATCCTAAAGATGAAGTAACTGTAATCAATGAGAACAAGAAAATCTGATTTTAAGTATATATTTTTAATATTTCCAACTTCTTTATTAACTATAAAAACACAGCAGATAGCAAGGCCAGTGCCCACTACGGCTCTGCTAGATGTTTCGACTATCAATAGCCACCATCAGGCAAATACATGATTAACATATTGTCACGTGTTGAGTATGTCACGCGACAAATAAATTCACTTGGGTCTCGGATTTAGCGAATCTTTATTGAATATTCACTGTTACACCCTTTAAAATCGCTATCAGTTGTAGCATCAATTGGCTTCTGCCTCAATGCTTGACTCTCGGCTCTCTATCAATAATAATCTAGTACAAGTCCTAAGCTCTACTTATACAGGGGTCATGCGGACTAAATCGAGGACACCTCTCGCCAAGGTTCGATCCCGCGTGTTCGGCAATCCGTTGCTTCGGGAACGATCTCTATAGATTACGGCGGTAACGTGTTTCGTCTCATCCGTTGGTACTCAACGGCCTTCTGTTGTTCATCTCCGGGGGAAACGCGTTCATTGCTTCTGCTCTTCCGACGCAACGGACCATTGTTATTGTGTTTCCATGGAGGTATCTACTCCAGACACTTTACAAT